GGGGGGGGGGGGGGGGGGCACAGCAGGTGTAATCCAGTGTTGAGACAGATGTTTAGCTCCAGACACACTTTGAGAGTCAGAAACTCTCTCAGTAAACTTGAAATCTTCTTCAAACCCTGAGTGTGCCCTGCTGAGCCTGATGGACCTGTCTGACTGCACTTCCTCATTCATACAACACAGATTAAAATACCTGTTGTTGTTTTAGTTTGCCATCCACAGCTTTACCTTTCTTTGTTTCCCACGTTTTTATTGCTTCGATACAAATAAACACGAAATAAAAAGAAATGACTATATAGAGAGTTTGTATTGTTCAGTGTGTTCTCTCCGTCATGGCGGCTGTGAGCATCTGAAGTTTTTAGGAATGTTTTTTAATTTGTAGTAAATTATCTTGTGAGAACAAGAATTTAAAGCGTCCACGTCGTCATGTGCTTCATCATAGTTTATTCATTGCTTTAAACATTATTTCATTTCTACCATTGCTCCAGCGTCCACATCTGAATTGAACTGGCAGAGAACATTTAATTTGTGGTGATGACATCATGTCCCAATAACACTTTCATTAAAACGCAAACTGTTGTTTCGAGTCTGGTGAAACCTCTTAAAAATCACCAGCAGTCACAGCCTCTGCTCTGTAAACTGAATCCAACCAAGTTTGTCCCATGAACAAAACTTTTTTAGCATTTCCATAAAAATATTTTTTTCTTTTTAGACACAAAATCAGATGTAAACCTCATGAAAAAGAACATTTTAACTTGTGAGTAAAACATTAATTCATGTGGCTGTGATAACTTTTTAGATTATTTGTGTTACAGGGAGGTGTTCAGATTTTATAATTATTTTATTTAGTGAATTCATTAAACACGATTAGAAAAGCCGAAAAAAAAACGTTTCAGATTATTGTGAGCTAATTAAGAACTTTAAAAAATCTAAATGAAAAAAAAAGATTTTGGGAGACACTCAAAAATCAGTTGTCCGAGCTGATGAAAAATCTAACATAAAAGCTATTAGAGTAAAAACAACTTTTACATGTATATGGATGCTGTTTTGGAATGGAGCCACTAGGTGGCATCATCTAACAGTGTAGATCATATGTGCACATGAACAGAAATGTACATTTGAGTTTCACGTCTCATGTTAACTGTTGTGGAAAACTTCACCTGATCACAAACACAAACAAGTTGTGTCTGTTTCCTGTGATTTACAGAACAATACTTAACCTTGTGTTACATCAAAACTTCATCTTTGTGACTCATGTTGAATTGAAATCAGTTGCTTTATTTTCTTCTTGAACGTCATTGGAGCACGTTGTCCCTGTGATTTCAGTTAAAGGTCTCTGATGTGTTTTCAGTAGATCTCAATAAATCAACGACTGTGACACCAGCAAACACTCAGACACAGAGATCATATGTTTTCAATGGAGACACGTTCACAGCCCCACAAGAGGGTTTGAAACCACCAACTCACCACATCTAAAAACAGTTTAACCTTCGCTGAGCAGATCGATGTCCAGTTATTCTAAAGAATTATGTCAATAAAAGTTTTAAAGTAACGCCACACTAAGTAAGATGAGACTGATGTTTCTGCTTCTGCTTCGTCTCTCCTATTATTGCTTTACTGTGAGCCCACTATTTGTACTTTTGTATATTTTATCTTTGCCGTAATGGTTTTCAACATTTGAGCCCAGGCTGATAAAGACCCACGTGAAGCCATCTGAGTTTTAATAGACTTTATCTCTAAGATCTGAGTAAAATGAGAAGCAGCACAAACTGGCCCTGACAGATAAATAGGAAAAGCAGACAGAATGTGCGGCTGCATATTGTGAGTGCTGTTAGTAATTATGGTCTTTTGCCAATTTAATTGCTGTGCGTAATCGAAATGAGCTCACGGAGCTACACTCTAAATTAGCAGTTTTATAATTACCACTGAACTACACTTGTCTCACCGCGTCCCCCACTTAATTACTAACACTGTGCCTCTGGATGAGCTATTGTGGAGCTGCGGTCGAGCAGGAAGTGATTAGAATAATAGGCTTTGTTTTCTGTTCATTTCAGTTGTTCTTCCAGAGCTGTTCTTCCAAAACAGCAGCAAGTTGAAGTGATGCACACATGATGGGACTCAGGTCACATGATTACAGGTGGTGGAATCAGGAAAAGACAAGACTAGTTTTACTGTCCTGCAATACATTTAGCTTGGACACAGAAAGAGGGTTCGTAGAATCCAGGCGCAGAAACTGAAGCCAAATGTCCAAAACCTGTCTTCTGTGTCATGACCAGCAGGGGGCGACTCCTCTGGTAGTTTCTATAGAAGTCTATAGGAAATGACTCTACCTCTGGTTTTAAAAAACCAAGATGGCGCTGGACAAAATGTCAGACTGAGGCTTCAGAACTGAACCACACTTTAGTGGCTGCACTGGAGGAAGAGTCAGTAACACTCATCCTCTGGGGATCATGAACGTCAAACTCCAGGCTTTAAAATGTAGAGAAGGTGTTGAGGAAAGAAAAGGAAGGTTGTAGGTTTTTGTAAAGTTGTCGGTTTATTTTTGTTTTGTTCAAACCACAGATGCTTTACCAACGCTTACACGGTTGATGATAGTGTTAACCACTGTTACTCACCTTATCAGAAACACTGTGAGCTCAGCATCAGTTGTTAATCTCTAGTTTTGGAAAACAACACTAATTTTGAGACGAGACGTAAAAAGAAGGTGAAGAAAAGAATTTCTTGAAACTGCAGAGAAAGCTCTAAATAAGTTGATTTGTTTTAGAAACAGATTAAAAACACAAGTACACATTGAATAAATCTGTAAATGTATTTATACTTGTATGGTCTCGATTCATTGTATATTCATGAATCTGCACTGAGCGAAAATACAATTTCAATCGAGATGAGCTTTAATTAGAAAAACCTCGGAGCTCGTGTGAAAAACAGAACGACTGAAGGAGTCAGATTCCGTTTTTGCACTAATGAGGCTTTCAGCTGAAATATTGAGCCTCATCACTTTTCCACTGATGGAAAATATATTCAAATGAAGTGAGCGGTCGCTGTGCATTTCCCTGAGTGATGTGCTGTTCTTCACTGACGCTCCCGACAAATAAACCTTAAGAGGATGTTTCTACTAAAACCAACAGTGACCTTTTCCTCTCGAGGTTTGGGACAAATCCTCTCAACCTCACCTCATCTCTGCGACTCGCTCTTTATCAGTCTGCTGTCAGAGGAAATGTTCTCTCTCATTTGGCTTCTTTGCCTTGAAAGGCGTGTGTGTGTGTGTGTGTGTGTGTGTGTCTGTGTGTGTGTGTGTGTGTGTGTGTGTGTGTGTCTGCGTTATCCTGCCCTGCTGCTACAATAGGGCTGACTAATGCAGAAATAGACTGCAGGCTAAGCTTCTTTTTCACAGAAATGTCTTGAAAAGTGAAGGGCACACTCTGCCTCTCCTGCAGCGGTTAGATCTGCTGTGGAAACGTGCATCACGCACAACATGCACATGAGCATGTGCGGAAAAATAGAGCATGATACAA